GCGGAGAGCGATGTTGGGTGCTTCGACGGATGTGGCCAGGATTGAGGTCAGTTGGCGGACGAATTTGAGGATGGCGGAGACTTTGGTTTCCCACTCGGGTTCCTATGTGTGGGCGTGAGCAGTGAAAGCCAGCATCGAGCGTCAAATACGCACAACATGTTCGCGATTTTTATAGCGTCTGCACAACTTTATCGAGGATGTGATCAACGCAGGGAATGTGAACCGCATCCTTTCGCCGCCAAGGTCAAAGTGTCGCCGGGCGATTTGAAGTAGCTGATTATCCAGTTAAGTATTGCATCAGAAATCGGTATCAAACCAACACACCTCGAACTGAGTATCCAAATTCTCTGAGCGGAATAAATGCACCATCCTCGCCACCCATCCTTGCTCTTCGGCCAATTCTTCCCTCTCCACAAAGTAAGGCCCCTGTCTTCGCACCTCCCTAATATTCGCCTGCTGACCATTAGGCATAGGCGGCGCACCAGAATCCGTCTGATCCTTGATAAGGACATGACATAACTCCAACACACCGTCGACATCCTCCGGCGCCTCAATGATCGTTTCGTTCTTGAGCACAGACGAGACGATGGAATGCGCAATTGAGCGGCGTGTGGAGAAGAGTTGTTTGGTTAGTAAAGGGACGTAATTGGGGATTGCGAGAAGTGTGAGCACGGATTGGTAAGAGTTGATAGGGGCGACGAGTAAGGACGCGAGATTGGACGAGGTTTGCTGGGAGTGTAAGTCCGGACTAGCGATCTATATCAGCAAGGAACATATCAGAAGGGTATGCCGTGCGTACTTATCACCGTATTCCTTAATTTTCTCCGCAGCAAAGCCGAGCACTTGGTCCACATATTCCAGGCGGTCAGGGTAGCAGCTCAACGACAAGTTCGTCAACGATACAAATAGCGCTGTGATATCTTGAATTGACAGGTCAGGACGAGCCTACGGTGAATAATCGGTTAGACAACGATGACGCCATAAGAGCAATTACTTGCTTTAATGAGCTCGACAACCTGCTTCCAAAACACCTCGAAGAGCTGGACGTCTTCAGGCACGCCTCGGAATTTGCGCACAGGCGTGCCCTCCTTATCCTTGCCTTTCGGCACTTTATCATCCGCAGAGCCTTCGCTGGGGGATGTCGTGGTTACCGATGTCGCATCCGATTCAACTGTTGCGGTGGCAGTCGTCGGCGTGGGTGGTTCGCCCCACGCAGGAGCTTCGAGCGATGGTGTTGTTGGCGGTGACACTGCGCGATATGCACCTTGTTCACGAGCTTTCGCCTTCTGCGTCTTCACTCTCTCAGCGAGACGACGCGCTGCAGCCTCTTCCTGACGTTTTGTCTCCTCTGGGTCCTCATTCTCCGCTTCCCTTGCTGCATATGAGGCCAAACGATCGATGAGGGCGATGACGATCTGTTTAATATTAACTTTAGGATGAAGTTGGGCGGTGGCAGACAAGAAAGGCCCAAGAGTGTGTAAATGGAATTCGTCGGTGAAAACCTATAGAATAAAATGAGCATAAGAATTCACGGGGAATAAATTTAGATATATACCTGGATAACGACTTCCATTAGGTACTCCTGGGCTATGACGTCCTTACAATTAACCACTTGCTCCAGAATACTTGGCAGGATGGTTTTCTGATACATCTCAAGGTCCACACCGTCCAGTTGACTTAATCTGACAAGATTGGTTCCAACCAAAATTCGGAGTTCACGACGCTCCATTTCGCGCTTTTCGCGATCCCTTGAATGACCCTGATGTTGCAGCCGAACCCAGAGTTTGTTCATCTCGATAAAGTTGGTGAGGACGAACGTGATGGAATCTTGGAGGTTACCAGCCGGACTGCAAATGACGTGTTTAGAAAATGACGGTAAATTATTGGAACGAACGATTTACATACCCAGGCTCCAAACCGACTGGAAGATGATCCCTCGTCTGGCCGCTCAGATAGTGTCGAAGGAACAGACCACGAATGGGATGCAGTACGCCACGCGACATCTCCATCATGTCCTTCATAATTTCCTTCACTGGCGCGTCTGGAATTGACATGTACACCGAACCGACAGTGATCATGAGGTAGAGACGGGGAATGATGTTGCCTGCGTATTGCACCAGCTCATAGAGGTCCGCCAGGTGGTGTCGCGATTGTGTGTGTGCCTCGTATAAGTAATTCGATAAATATCGTAGAGCGTCGAATACAGCCATATCTGCATCGCTGGTCAGACTTCGTATACATATGGACCGCAGCAGCTACGCACATAGTTCGTAGTATTGCTTGGGAGATAGTGACGAGGTTCGCAATTCTGCGAGCATCAAACTCGCACTCTTCAGCGCATCCATAAGCTGGTCCAGCTCCTGTGATTTTGATTAACACTGAAAGATGTGATATTCCAACAGGAAATAGTATGGCGTACTAGGTGTCGCTTCATCTGCTGGACCTGTATTTTGACCGTGTTAATGGCCTCACTCAGGAGCTTGCCCTCCTCCACCGCTGGCTGCGCCATGGTTGTCGTAGTGGTAGCCAGTGCTGGGACGGTTAAGGGGAGATATTAGGGTGTTGGTGGCAGCTCGAGCGTCGCCATTGGTCGGGGCGCACGAATCCTGTTTGCACACGTTAGGCTCATCATTTGTCAGCACCCTGCAGAGTCCATTCCCCGAGCTCACATCCAGACTTTTACCTCTATCCCCTCCAAGTGCTTTTCATCCTCCAATCTCGGTTTTCAAGTTCCCATTCTGATTCAGAAATATATTCAGGTGACTATTCGAGGAAATCGCGGAGTAGAACCATTTGGGATGAAACACAGAAACCGCCCAATCTTGGTTCAATCCGAACATTCTCAACAATCATAGTCTCTCAATTTAAACACAAAAGCTGCTGCTCATACAACATATATAGCCCCGCTGGCTCAGTGTGTATTTTTTTCTCAATGAATAGCGTTTAAAAATGGCATCAGGCGGCGTTTTTTTCTACTCATTGTGCGTGTTATACCAAAGTCTTTTATCGGAATTGACTTTCTGGATCTTCAGATAACGTAGAAATAGAATCGCCATGCATTATGGGGTGTCATTTGAACCCGCGAGAGGGACTCTGAGGCACGAAGCCGCCAACGTCAACTTTTGCTATTGTCCAACACCAACGTGAGATTCTGCGACTTGGCAATGTCATCCCACCCACGTTTCTTCTTCTACCCACGATTTCAGTCAAATATAAAATGCATACCGATACATCAAAATGGATAACCCGTTTTTTGGGCGCTTGGTGGCACTGAGCGTGCACAATACATCCCCTGTTCTTGTCCTCCTACTTATGTTCCTTCGTCTATAGTGTCTTTCGGACCTTCTACCCGGTGATCGAGTACCGAGAACTAACGGAGCAATCGACTGCTCTCCCAGTGCCTGGCCGCCCTTCTCGAGCGCCCCATGTGCGCGCGGTTTTTTTTTCTTTTGTCCTGCACGCCTTCGGCATCCCTTTCTGCGAATCTCATCTAAGAATAGGCGACGACTGGGTTCCGTTCTTTGGTTTCGGTGTTCAAAGCACCGTTTACCTCCATGAAGTCTATTGTCGGGATACATTACCGTCTCGGTGACGTCTGTTCGATGCCCAAGTTACGCCGTTGGCCCATACTGTCAACAATTGCACTTCAGGCTATTGTGTGTCAATGGCGCGTATTATCTAGTTACTTTTTTTTTATTACCTTTCTCTTACGAGGTATATAATACCTATACGTCCCTTATACTTCTGCAAGTCGAACGTTTATTCCCCTCGAAACGTCCTTCGAAAACTGTCCGCTCCCTCAGACAATTTTAAAGATCATAACATGGACGCTTTCACCGAATTCATCGCCTCGCTCGAATCTAGCCCTGTCCCTGCCGACGAGGAAAAGAAGAGCAGCTCGGCCAACTGTTACTGCGTTATCGCCTGAGGGACTTGTTCCTCTCGCCAAGGCCACACCCCTCGCCCGTGATACCCTCGTCTTCGTTCCCATTACCATGTTCGTTCAACCTTTTTTCTACCAGCGGTTCCAACTCACTGATTCCTAATTCCTTCATCGACAGTGCATTGCTTTCGCGCTATCTCTCATTCCATTTACATCATATTCGGTACCACCATCACCACCACCACCACCACCACTGTATAATCTGCATGACGCCTCCCATGTCTCCCACCCCATACCCGTAGACTCGACTCCCGAGTTAACGCTCATAACGCTCATTTATCGGAACCTCATCATCATCATCGACCATCAACCACCATCGCATTTTTTGGCCTATTTATTCGGCACATAGTCATTTCGCCTTTCAATAATATCGCTATGTCCATTCTATCATTATCACTTTTATCTGCATACACGCCGGGATACCATTCATCTGTATACATATTTGCTTACATGCATGCATACATACATACCAGTTTTGATATCGCTTTGTACTTTTGTTGTTGTTGTGATCACTACTTCGATTGATTCGAGTTATAATGCATTACGTTTGTTGTTCAGCCCGGGTTTTGAGCAGCGGTTTGAGGAAGCGCTTACAAGTAATACATGCATGTCTTCTGATTTTCTGACAACCGCTTGAGATCAAGCATATTGCCCGAAATGGGGCGCCAATTTCCTAATGCGTAATTTGTAATAAAATTCCATACATGATTTGGCCATTCCTAATTGGTTTCCCTCCATTCTTCTTTATGGCTGGAATGATAGCCTTAAGTGCTAAAGCCTGGTCTTCATCTTTTGGTGCGCTATAGTGTTTTGGACTCCGTGCTCATATGCTCAGAGCATACATAATGCAAACAGGACAATAAATCGCCGCTTCAGGTTGACAAACGTATTTCGTAATCTCTAAAAATCTCTCGACGATTTGATATACAATTGTTTCGTGAGCTCAAATACCTATGCTCTCTACGTACGCTCATAATAATGACGGCTCGTCGATGCATCTAACACGGTCGTTTAGGCATATAGTACTGAAGAATAAACGGCATTTTAAATGAAACGCGGCGCTATAGTGTAGTGGTTATCACTCGAGATTCTGATGAATTCTTACCTTCTCGAAACCCAGGTTCGATCCCTGGTAGCGCCTTATACATAGCGTCGTCAAGTTTAATTCTTGTTTTTGTACTTTTTTTTATTTATTGCAAACTATATATCCATTCCCGAAAGTAAATATATGCAACTCATGGACTCTGTTTTAATTTTTGAACTTTTGAAAAATTTGCCGATTCAAGTAGATTTGAACCATTGGTATACCGCCGACTACACCTACTTACTATAAGGTTCAAACAAAAGAACCAATCGCTTCTTTTCGCCTATAGCAAATTCATGAGTAAGCTGCTCCATCTGTGCTTGCCATTCAGATACGCTGTACTCCGTTTCTCTACGCCACTGCATCGTCTTATTGAAGATGAGTTTTATACAAGTCAAAGAGGGTATTTTCCACAATGCTTTCAAATCCTGATTGACAAGGATGGTTGATGAGCAAGAGATAGATTAAGAACGAAGAAGAACATACCGTCTCAGTTGGAATGTGCCACAACTTGAAGGTAATGTCACGCAAATTTTCAAAGTTCACGATCTCCGCTGTGAATGAGGCAGATCAGGGAGATAAATTCTATGAGTTGCTGAAGAAGGAAGTCCTCACTGATATAGTCCTTCAGCGGTTGATGACGCCCAGCCCAAAATGGAGGCACCAATATGGGTCCTAATATTTCAAGGGAAGAGCAAAAAGGGAGTCTGTTAATGAGAGAATATTGGCCTTTCCAATCCACAGGCTCCTTGAAGGTGCATACTTTCAGTCCCGGGCAGCGCAGCAAACAGGAGAACGCATGCGAAACATATGCTGTCCGAATCTGAGGGTATGTGTAACGCGCGAAAGTTTTTGAAAAATCGCGCTGCTTCGTGATTCCCAGTTCGATGTGGATCGTGTGGAGGTTGGGCATCAAAGACATACAACGGGCCAGTTCCGAGAGCACAGTATTGATGGAATAGTCGACTACCAAGACATCCACACCTGGTGCGACCATAATTGTGCAATAACTTACTACAACTGTAGTAAGTTTGTGTTGCAACAATCTACTACAGTGGTACTATTGCACCACCCTCACATGGGCCCCAGGCAATTGTGCAACAGTCTTGCGGAATACTCCTTAGTAGTGCAATAGATCTTCATCCCATTTTGGTAGGCTCGAGTATTGCACTACATTCCCGGGGTCCTGATCTGTCTGATATTTGCATCACGTCATGTCCTGACGCGCTCTGGTATGTTATCGAGCCGCACCCGAATCAGCTCACCTGCCCAGTGGCTCACCTCCGATTGCTTTGATTGGCCCAACATTCTCTACACCGCCCCACCCCACCCCTTCCTTCATGAACCATACGCTGCGCCACTGAATGTAGAATTCCGAAAGCATGCTGGGTGGGGCAGCAATTCTTGACAAACCTGATCCTCATTTGAGCGCATTGGGTGCAACACCATGACTTAGTTCTTTAAACGCTTAGATGGACGCGGTACGCATTCCCAGCCCACGATTCCCATGTTCATCGTGGCATTTCTATTTCGGCCATTACAAGCGATGCACCTAATACATACAGCGCGGGGGCGAGTTTCGCGAGTCTTCCATTATGTAGTTCGTCATTGCTATCCTTCATTGATTGCAGTCCAAAACGAGTTCATATCCCAGTCAAAACGGAGGGGCAGAAGCGGAGATGGGCGAGATCAACAGCAAGATGTCATTTCGGCGTTCACCGGGGACCCGATCACGTCCTTGAACCAATCAGCAAATTAATAGATAGGTGCTGAAAAAGATATGTATCGAATCATAACACTCTTAACTCATCCTTTCAGGCCTTTAAATTCTGCTGAAATTATCTTGAAGATAAATTTTATCTTCTGGTCTAAAATGAAGACTTAAGGAGTAGTGAAATGACGAGATCTCAAGACTTTGACGCGCATCAGCCAATCAGAATGCAAATAGAAAGACGCTGAAAATTCTTCGCAAAACATGAGAATGGACTATAGAGGCGTCGGTTTGATCCCGATTCCTTCTGTATTGAATAACAAGAGTATATGTAAGCCATTTAACATATCTATGAAGTTTATTTAGGCTAAACTCGCTTACAGGCTATGTTACTAAGACATAATCTTTGGGTTTCACTAATTGTACAAGAATCCGTAGTGCTGTAAGAGTTACCTTCCATAAATTTCGTGACCACTTATAAATTTTTTGAACAAAAAACTGAATTAAGATTATATATTTAACTGATTAAAGTGAAAGGTATAATAACAGTGCACTTTAGCATCTTCACACCTCGGAAACTGCAATATGTTTACACTTCTCGCGAAATTTACGAATACACTGCCACACAAAGCTTCGCATCTCGACACCGCAAATCACTACAAGTCGACTAGTTCGTAGGGCAAGAGGGAGTGACCGGGGAAAGGCAATGGTACCCAAATGTAGAAGCAAGATACAGTCGTCAAAAGAACAACAAATAAGCTATGGGACAGAGGCCAAGTAAGTGGAAGCATAAGTCGGGGGCACATGTACATTAGGAGCGCACCTGCTGGGTCTCCTGCTCTCAGGTCTCCCCTTTTATGTTCCTCCCTTTCCCCCATCTTCGCTGCACAAAAATGAGAGAGTGTATATCCCTGTTGAAAAGGGAAGGGAAAAGCAAGTGCGTGTGGTGGTGGATTGGATGAGAGCGCAGATTTGCACTGGAATACATCTGATGTCATCGGCCCGTTATGCCGGCGGATGCCCGCATGATGTTCATTGATACGATGGGCAACCCATCCAGTCCATAGTCCTTAAAGAGAAAAGGAAGAAGTATGTAGAATCGTCATATGTACTTATGTTATTTCCTCTGTTTTTGGAGGTTGTGTTGCGAGGAGCAAATGGGCAGCACATGCGGTGGGGAATCGCGGAGGCTGAATTTGGACCGACAAGATCCAGTCCTAAGGTGGGGAATGCCGGGTGCCCCGGAGGGTATGAGCGGGGAGGGCGGGAACAGGGAGGGCGGGAGCGGGGCCCGGGTACAGGGGGGAGCGGGCGCAGGACGCACCGAGTAGTGCATAAATATATTTAAATCGGGGCCGAATTGGTATTCCGAGTGATGCACAATTATAGTATTGCACAACCAAGAGCTGAACCAACTGGACGTGAACCGCATTGTCCTACAGTTATTTATAAAGTACAACATAAGTGAATAGTTATATATAGCAATGTGGAGGAAACATAGGAACGGCACATCAGGAGGGACCCCGGAACAGGATGGATGAGATTGGGCTTAATGCACTATTTGTCACGAGCCCATGGGAGCGGTGCAATAGCAGACTGTAGTGCATTGTTGCAACACTGGATTACTACAGTTGTAGTAATTGTTGCACAAGATTGGCACGTACGGCTGACATCCAGGACACTACAACAATGACAAACGCAAATTAGAACTCGACGTGATCTTTTGCTGCATCCAAGCCACTGAATACTTACTTGACTAACTCCGCTAAACCAGGCTCTCGAATAGTGACGGTCTCCAGTTGTCGAACCAGTTCTTCAGCATAACTCCTCAATTTGGGGTCGCGTTCAACGCGCCTCATGTGATTGTTGCTAGTGACCGAGCACAACGTTGGACCCCCTGCATAAACCTGCATCTTGTCATATACTTCAATGCGCTGCCAACGATATCGCAAGAAAACGCGTCTAAGAGAACGACAGGTCTGCGATAGCGCATCCAACACTATTCGCCGATCGCCGTATTTTTTGATGTTTTTTGGTTCGTGCTTTGTTGGGAGAGGAAATGCTGGGAAGTACGATATGATTTCGAGGTAGAGCTCATCTGCCAGACATGGAAGCCCTCGTGTGTTGACTAGATGTCGGCCTGTCGTTGGTGATACCTCCTCCGAGGGTACGAGCTCGAGCTCAGAGTCAGATTGCACTGACGTAGGACTTGGGTCCTTTGGTTTTAGCGCTTTGCGAAGATCTCGGCGCTTGGAAGTTACTCTTGATTTTGGTTTTGGTTTTGCCCGAGAAGCAGACATTTGAGTAACAGAACAACTGTACAGCCACCAGTAACGAATCACTTAAGCAAAAATTCAAGACAAACCAGCGATATCTGTCTAATATAGGACAGACGCCAATTAAAAAGTAAATAGTACTGTGGAGTAACATATTCGGTACACTCGACAAAGTTTTTCTGTAATGTTATAGCATTGTAAGTCGAGCTATGGATCGTTTTCTCTGGGGTGTTCGAAAATGATGGCATCGGGCCGATTCATGGGAAACGAATCACCTAAACAAAGACTTGTTATTTGCAAAGGGTCTGTAAACCTAACGACTTCCACAAAGATTTCAGAGGCATTAGGATGAAAAAGTGCGACTAATTCGAGTTTTAAAGAGTCAATAATGTCAGCCAAAAGGCTCGAAATTCCATTTCTTCAACGGGCGGAGTCTGAAATTTGGCCGAATTTGGGCCAAGATCATTTCAGATCAAATTTCGCTTTCTGCCGTAAAAGATTGCTGTATTGCAGAGTCAAATCAACCTACTATGCTCTAAAAACTACAATGAAGCTTAATTACATATATTACTACACATGTTTTAATTTATACGATTCAAGGAGCAGCATTTCATCTGAAATACGGAGGATGATTCGTTACTATGGGTGATTCGTTGCAGGTCACCTGACAGAAGAGAGCAACTCGCGTCCAATTCAATTTTCAACACATTAAATTGGTGTCACATGATGGCGCCCACACGCGCTCGCGAGCTCGTCCCGTTCAACGCATATTATTTTCCTTCCAGTTTATTCGAGCCTTTAATATTCTACTTACTATATCTGTCAAGGTTCAATAAAAGCATACAATTGCTTCTTCTCTCCAACGATGAATTCCGACGATAGGGAAAGCTGCTGCATCCGTGCTTCCCAATCATGTATGGCGCCATCAGGACTCGACGGCATTTTTGTCGCAAATATAAACCTTATGTACCTCAAAGACGGCATTTTCCACAGCGCTTTTATATCCTGCTCGACAAGAATAAGCGTTTGAAATCTAAGAACCCATAAATCATACCGTCTGAGTTGGAATT